TTTACTTATTTGAGAGAGAGAGAACGCGTGCGTGTGCACAAGCAGGGGCAGTTTGGAGGGGCAGAGGGAGAAGCCGACTCCCCACTGAGTGGGGAGCCTGACACAGGGCTTAATCCCAAAACCCTGGGATCATGATCTGAGCTGAAGGCAGTTGCTTAACCATCTGAGCCACCCAGAGGCCCTTATAATCATTCTTTGTAAAGGCATTTCCTAGATGTTGCACTTCAAACATCCTCCTAGCTATACCTATCTGCCAGGAAGGTCTGAAAATATATTTTTGTGGCCATGTACTTCTCAAAATTCAGGGGTTCTATTAATAAAGGAAAAAAGAGGAGGATGAGATATTAGGGACAGTTGGCAGTCTCTGCATCACATGCTAATTAACAACATTGTTTCAAAATGGAGTTTTGACCACAGACTTAGACAAGTGATGAATGATCTCATGACTTTGGGATATAACTACATCCATTATAGATTTCTTTTCAAGTAGTATATCAAGGTTATATATATGTGTGTATATACACATATAGATATACACACACACAAATACACATATACACATATATATACACACACACAAACACATGTATATAGTATGTGTATGATATATTTCAATTATTTAAATATAATCTATGAGATATCATGACTATTACATGATTCTTCAGTGGGCTCTGGTCATCTACAAGTGCTAATTCAAAATTTCATAATACAAGAGGTCCGCTGGCTTTAATCTTTGGCAGAAAGCCTTGCAAAACCCTTGGGATTTGTCTTGCTTGCATCCTCACTCAAAAAGATCTCAAACTCAAGAGATCTATATTGTAAGAGATGAGTTCATAGAGAGATGGCTTTATAGAAATAAAATTACTCTAAAGTTAGTGAAGCATGTACTCAATACATAAATCATAAACAATCCTGACTCTGAACTTCAGAGTTTCTTAGAATTCTTGGTCAATTCTTTTTTTTTATTTTTAATTTTTTAAAATTTATTCTTTTAAAGTAGGTTCCAGGCCAGCATGGGACTCAAACTCACCACCCTGAGATCATGCATGCCCTACTGATTGAGCCAGCCAGATGCCCCTTCTTGGTCTATACTGATAAAGTTTAGATATTTACTATAGAAAAATTAATTAACAAGGATTGGGAATATTTTTTGAGAACGACCCACAGATCCTTACTTCGGTATCTTCTGGGTCCACAGGAGGAGATAAGCACAGGATAGACCTCAAGTACATATACATATACTCTTGTTACCTAGGTGCTGCCCAACCCCCAACCCTAATGCAGTCTCTGATGAACTCAGCTGTCCACATGGAGCTGCTTGGAAATATTGTGTCTTGCACACAGATAGATGTCCTTGGTCCTTTTTCCTGGGTCCAACTCTTTAGGTCCTACTTTACTAGTGGCTGGTTGAGGCAGGAGAAAAACAAAAAAAAGAAAAAGTTGAAGTTGGAGCTGGTCTAATTAGTTCGCCCTAAGCCTTATCTTGGGGAAAGGTTATTGGGAAGCATCTCCCAAGTGGGAGGCAGTTCTAGACCTGTTTTACCTCACTGGCCACGTGGAAGTAGAGAGAAACAATCTAAAGAGAGAGAATCCCAAGAGATGAACTCCAAAGAGGTCACAGCCTACAGAAGTCAAAACTTTAACCTTTTTTCTCCATACACCCAAAGCTCCAGCCCCTATTTTTTTTTTAAAGATTTTATTTATTTATTTGAGACAGAGAGAATGAGAGACAGAGAGCATGAGAGGGAGGAGGGTCAGAGGGAGAAGCAGACTCCCTGCCGAGAAGGGAGCCCGATGCAGGACTCGATCCCGGGACTCCAAGATCATGACCTGAGCCGGAGGCAGTCGCTTAACCAACTGAGCCACCCAGGCACCCGCTCCAGCCCCTATTAAGAGGTTTAGTTGATTCCAGTAACTTGATTCAGTCTCCTTTCCTCTTTTCCTTCATGAGCATGGGTTTGGGGAGTGGAGTAAGGGTGGGGAGAAGCAGAAGTGGAACTTTGCTCTAGAAGGCACTATAACAAATACAGGACATGGCCTTTATCCCAGTTCTCAAAGAACTAATTGTCTGGGGAGCTAATGTATAGGAAATATTTAGTGAAAACCGAAGTACTTGAACTATGTGTTATTGATTATTCCAGAAGAATCCAGATAAGGGATAAGTCACTGTGGATTTGTTTCTTGGGGAAGGCTTTCTAGATCATGTCACAAGTGAGGTGCCAAAGGTTTAAAGGAACTAATTAAGAAGGCAGAAAAGAGGGGGTGAACAAAGATTCATAATGAGCTTAGAGACCAGTGAACCTATGTGCCAGAAGCAGAGACTTCCTTTTGGAGACTAGGGAATGAGGTGGAATAGGAAAGTGGGATACTTCAAAAATCAGGCAGGGGTTAAGTTGTAGGTAGTCAGGTAAGATTTTTTTTTTTTTTTTTAACTAAGTTAATGTTAACCTCTTTAAATTTTTATGGAATGAAGGGAGGATAAATTAATAAATTGCTGACTAATTGAATGAATGAATAAATAAGTTATATTATAAAGACATTGTAGATATTACAAAAACTAGCCTCTTAAGTAGAATTTGTCTAGGCTGGGAATATGGGGTTCCTACATAGGATCTCAGCAACATAGGTTGCCAGGGAACAAGAGAAGTCAAGACTAGGTGTTATTAGGGACTGGGAGCCTGGCAGCACTAGGGTTAGCCAGCAGTCTAGTCCTTAGTAAACAAGAGGAGGTGTTGGATCTGAGGAGATCCAATTCATCAGGAGATCTGGTTAACTAGAATATAGATAGCAGGTGAGATTGCGTCAGGAATGGTGGTGTCATGGAAGTTGGGCAATCTCATCATAGCTGGATTCCAGCCGGCAGCTGGAGTTCTGGAATAGAATCTGGGGAAGGGTAGTATCAGGGCCCTAGTCAAGCAGATTGAAGTTCAGGGCAAGGCACAAGGTCTTGAAGGAGAAAGGAAACCTAGTCAGGGCAAAAGCCAGTTCCGGAGGTTGGGCCAACATGTGTGGAGTTAGTAGGGAAATGGAGGAATGATGATAAAGCTGTGCAGATTAAACTCAGTGTGATTCAGTGCATTTGTGGCCAAGAAAGGAATACCATTCCTGGTATGTGGTGGGCTGAGGTTGCTTCTCTTTTGCCTGCCTGATGAAGATGTACTGAAGGTCACAGATGTGCTGAGCCTCTTAAGTCGATCCTTCAAGGGCCCTACCTCAGACAGATCTTGGCATGAATGGCTGAAGTGGAGGCCTATGGAGGGAGCATCACTTGGAGACTACAGCGTAGGAGATGTAGGTATAGCTAGGAGCCTGTCATAGTCCAGGCTGAGGAGGACAGGCCTTGTCAAAGGGGTGGGGAGGATTTAGTAGGAATTCAGAAGAAAAGGGGGCTGCAAAAGACATTTCAAATTAAGAAGAGGCATCGGTGACAAGTTTAATATAATGCATAGAGAAGGAAGAACCTAAAATGATTCCAGGTCGATTTTAAATGCTTGTGTAGTATGACATTTTTGTTCATGAGCTGAAGGGTGTTGTATTTTTTTTTAAACCAAAGCAATTGTCTTTGACAAAAGACAACAACAAAAGTTACTTACAGCAGTGTTTTGCTCAAATAATTCAATGGGATAACTGTGCCGCTTCTCCAGGTTTATCTCACAACCAAACCAAGCAGAGGCTGCCCCATCCGCAGCCTCCCCATCTTGCACAAGGGGGGAATGCCAACCAGAATTCAGCAGCATGGCTCCCTCACCCCTCACCACCTCTACTGCTCAGTGCTCCATGGGAAGGAAAAGTCCTACTCCAGTTCAGTACACTTCCAGGGTCCCCTGCTATAGGCATCTTCCAACACTCACACTAGACCTGGGCTCACAGACATGGGTGGGATAGAAGAGGCTGGGCAAACAAGATTCAAGATTCAAGATTAGTTGAAGCTCCTGCGTTCTTTCTTTCCAAGCTGGGCCTCAGCAGGGTGAGGATCCCTGATCCCCTGAGACAGGCAAGGAGGGGGTGGGGTGGCAAAAGAGAGAGCCTAGGAAACTTGCCCACTCACAGAGAACAAAGTTCCCTCTCCTTAAATAACCAACCCCATTCCCACAGCAATAGGTAGGCCAAGCCACTGAGAACTCAGAGCTGAAGGGCGTTTTAAACACATACACTTTTGGCCTGTTTTTTAAAAACCCAAATAAATAAAGTAAATTAGTAAATAAGTGTGTTAAGGCCAAGCTTACTTGTGAGTTTGTTGGCTTTAAATCTCAACAGCCGTGGGTCTGCAGTGAGACATTTCAGAGAGAAAGAGCCCTTGAGCATGTGAATGAATAGAAATGTTTTTTGCCAAGATGCTTTTCTTTCCTGTTCTAAGATAGTATTAGTAGTGTACATGTACATGAGTATGACTGAAAAGCCTCAGGTGGGGCCTACCTGTATCTGTCTGTGTTGCTCTCACCGGGCTTCAGTTGCTGGAGGTGATGTTTGAAGTGATTATGCGTCCCTCTTTTAGTCACCTGGTTAGTTCAGAGCCTTTGCTGACTGAAGAGTGCTCCTGCCTGGCCAGATTGCTTCACTACAGGAGGCTGTCTGCAGCTGGTGATTCCCAGCCAGCAGCTTTGCGCCGCCAGGATGGGATACAGGCATGGACTTTACTCTTTATGAAGGGTTAGGGCTTGGAACTTCGGGAGGGGTTTTATTCCTGTCTATGGAGCTGAGGAAAGAAAATACAGATTCCTTACCTGGATAGGGAAACTTTGTTTTCAAAATGTACAGACACGTGGTGTTTCTGATTTTATTGGGCTTGGATCTGCACCTGGGGTGGCATGGATTTCAAAGTCATTATTTAAGGTAGGGAAACAAAACTTGAACCAACATTATTACCATAAAAGATCCTGGTTGTATTGAAAGGTTGAGCTAAATAATTTTAGTGATCAGCGGGAGACCAACTGTTGTACTTCTGAAAAGTTGTTCTTAGAAAGGCTTGGATTAATAATTTGTTTCCATTTTGTTCACAGATGTACTGTCTGTAGGACAGGGGTAGACTGAATACCTGCTTCACTGAATACCTGCTTCACAGCACCTTTCACATTTTCTTGTTGGAAAGACAACCGTTGGAGAATCATCTTATCATCAGCAAAAAGGCAAACAAATCAAGACATTAAGAATGCCACAGTGGCCGACAGTTAATGATGCCAGTGTTATACAAGCTTCAGCAAAGTTTTCAAGACAGTGTGCCTCACTAGCCAGAAATCAGGGAAGATTGAACCTATCCCTTTTGTCTCAGCTGTTCCTTAAACCTATGCAACCCCTCCACATTAATGTGAATTGAAACATGCATTGCCTTTTCAACTTAATTGAGTACTTACTATGGGTGAATCACTGCACAAAATAGGGGAGGGAAAATGAGGGAGACAAGTAAGTTGTGTTTCCTGCCTTCAATGGATTTACAATTAGTTTCAGGGCCCTTTTTTTTCTTCTGCTCTTAATTAAGTGTGTTTCTAAGATAGAAAACAAATGAATGCATAAGTGTATTCTGCAAGTATTTTAAATCCCTTTAATATAAAACAAAACAAAACAATCTAATGTGGGCAACTCAGGACATCTTAATTCCATTTTTTTTGGATGTCGATAGGTAGGATTTATTTTATTGATTCTGTAAATATTTGGTAGACTTTAGAGATATTAACACATTAGAGTTGGAATTAATTGAATTAAATTCTTTTTTCCCTCCTAGGTGTAGATTGTCTGTTGAAAAAACATATTGTGTTTGTACATTTCTTGCAGAGTGGGTAGGTGAATTACATCTTTTGTCTCTATAGGCCTCTACCTTTTGTGAGCCTGACATCCTGTGTGAGTTATTAGCATGGGGAAGGGGAAGATTTGGATCAAACTTGGGAATATTGTTCATGAAGCCAAGATAGGGCAGAGATAGGAGCAAAACGGACCCAGGCAATGACTCTGTCGGAAAATTTGGCTATTTCAGTATTCATGTGTTGTCCTCTATGCTCCAAAATTACTGTACGGTTTTTTTAAAAAACTTATTTCTGATCTGGGTATAAGTCATGATTTTTCCAGTGTTAAGACACTAAAATGACTATAGATACTAGACATATTATGTAGTGTTTGTAACACATTTTAGTATGTATGAAGCAACGATAGACACGTCTTTGTCTTGAGTAGTGTCCATCTGAATGGAAAATGTGCCAGCTTTTTTTTTTTTTAAATATCATCAACAGACTTCTTAATTAAGCTGCCAATAATACTGCCAATAGCACTGTGCATCATTTGAGAAATGAGTTGTGAAGTGCTGTTTCCCTCTTATGTTGCTCCATATAAAATGGATTTAAAGTGTTCTTTGAATGGGACATTATATTGCTCCCTAAAGAATTTGATGAGAATTCTCATACCTTCCGTTTTTACGTAATTTCCAAAAACCTTTATTTTGCTGCTTGGTAAAGAATCGTTCTAATTTGACCAATGACTTTAATTATATGATCCATCCTTAATAGGATGAATCGTGCTGCCCCCAAACTCCTGATGGTGATACTGGATATTCGTTAATCTGAGTTCCAAAACTATATTGTACTAAATTGTAGACATTTATTTCCTGTTCTGGGAAATTTTTTGGAGGGACCATCTCTATGTTCCTGGACCTAGCACAGTTTACTCAACACATACCTACTATGCACCTACTATGGTGCATAGTAGGTATGTGTTGAGTAAACACTTGGTGTTCAAAACATGTAAAGTAGCTTTTTTCTGTGGTTCTTAAGGCTCTATAAAAGACAGAGGGGTCTTGCTAACAGAGTAGCACCTTCATCAGTTTACAGTCAATCTAGTGAGAGTAAGTCCACATTATCCGGATTTATTATATTCAGTCTAGTCCACTGGGCTTCTTAATGGGTGTCTTGGATGCATCAGTTTAGCCCTGTGATTTGTACTAACATCCACTCTGCTTCCCCTGGCCCTTGGCCAGCTCCATAGGGGTGGGCCCTTGGAGGGGCTGTTCTGCTTCTCCTCCTCTGGCTTGTCTACCACTAGAAGAGCAATCACTCTAGTCACTGGGTATTCACGACATGCCAGCCGCTGAGCTAAGTGTTTTACACATATCCTCTCACTTAATTATCTCATTTAAACCTCACAGCAACCATTTGAAGTAGGTATTATCTACTGTAGAGATATGTATGTATCTTGCTTAAGTCATGGGGATCTAAATCCAGATCTCTTAGATTCTAAAGCCTGAACTATTAACCTCTCCCCTCTGCTGCATCCCAGGAGAAATTTCCAGTGCCTGGTGGTATGGGGGCAGATCAAATCTGGATGTAGTCCAGATTCATTTCATTTAGTATTCCCAAACAGCAAACTGTCTAACAGATAAAACCCAGCAAATCACAGTTGTTTTGAGAAAGGGGGAGGGAAGAGCAATTGGGAGAAAGCAAAGTTGGAAACAAACCAATTTGAGTCAAACCTTTAGCCTTTATCTCATAATGTCTTTTTTTTTTTAACTTTCTTTTTTTAACATGGCCTGACACCATGTGATAAATCAAAGCCTGACGTAATTGACCCAGAATTGATCCCCAAATGTCTTTTGGGGGAACATGCTTTAACTCTCGTTGTTGATTCCGAGGAATAATTGCCACCCTAGAAAGGTAATTACATATGCCATTGTTTATACACATAATAGGCTCAGAATGCATATTCTGCACAGAGGGAAAGAGAATCCTGCTTGCACATTAGGGGTGTGTGCAATGTATTGTGTCAGAATGCCACAAATAGCGTTTGAACTGCTTCCTATTACTGCTTATTTCCCTAACGTGCGCGTGCCCATGTGTGTGTGTGCGTGTGTAAGGGTGAGGTTAGGAGTGAGGAAGGAGATGGGCCATGGAAGGCTGTTTGTTGAGCTGAGTGACAGTGATTTGCTTTTCCTTAATTTTTTAGTTTACTAGAACATCTTCTGGATCTGATTCATTTAGCTTGGTCTGGTAAAAGGACTTTTCTCTTCCTGCTTGGCATATGCTTATTAATGAGTTCTCATATTTCTTTCCATCAAGCGCTGTTTACTTTGAGGAAATATAAAGTGAGAATCATTCTCCACAACATCCTCCTAAATGCCATGGTTTTTGACCACCCACTTTAAGTACACCAAATAGTCAGCTAAAATGGTAGCTAGTGCCTTTCCTCTCACTGTGCTTTCTGGTAAAACATAAATGGGATTTAAACCACAAATGAGCAATTAAAGCACTTCATGCCTTTTGCCTTTAGCCATAAGACAGTAGTTATCCTGAGTAAATATAACAAATAGGCTATTTTGTGGTTGTCTAACCCTAGCAACATATATATATATATATATATATTTAAATCAAAGCCTTAAAAATATGTTATGACTTTTGATAGTACTGCCCAATGAAAAGAATACATATGTATTCCAATATGGAACTGAGCATTATTTGAGGCCAAAGCAATTCATCCTGGGCTATTCTCTGCTGCAGTGTCCAGCAAATTGCATGACCTACTTGTTAGACTTGACAATAGTGTTTTACCTAACAAAGGCCTCTGCAGCTCTGAGCAGCAGTGGAATGTCAGAATGAGCACATTTCACACACAGATGTGCAGCCATAATAGCCTCTAAGAAGATGCATGTGGCAGGGAGCTAAGGGTGGGGGTTGGGTGCTTGGAGTGGGTGGTGTGTGTGTAGTTTGGGGGCCAACGGGAGAAGGAGGCCAACAGTTAGCAGTAGGGACATGGCCCCACTGACCACATTTAATCAGCCCTCTGTAAACAGTTCAACATTTTCATTGTTCTCTAAAAACTAATAAAGAGAAACAAGCACTTTTCATTCATCTTGAAGTAATTTTCTGTCAGGTTGGAGCCCCTTGTGGCCTCCAGCTTGTGCAATGCTAGCTGTGTGATACAACAACTATTGCAATTTATTTTACAAACTCTGGTCATTCACATGTCAGTTAGTGTTCACCAAGCCGGCATCTGAAATTGTGCAGTTAACGAGTTTTACAACATTTCTATCAAGAGAAACTGTTTAGCATAACTGACTCTTAAGGAGTTATTATACCTCTAAAAATCCATTTTAAGGGGCATTATTTAAATAAAATAGAAAAACGGTTCACTGCCTTTTAAAGGGGCTACAAAAAAAGTCCATCAGCTCCAGTGCAGTAATCCTCAGCTTAAAGCACTCTTGAGAGTACTTCTGGGAATTGTCAGCATAATGAAATGTTTTGTGAAATGTCCAGATAGATTCCTCTACTCAACAATTTTACTGCACCATATTTATTTTCCTTCCAGTTTTTAAAGAAGTGAATTACTTTTTGAGAGGATGACTCTATGTTGTGTAGATTAACTGAGCACATTATTACCCAGGTTGTAGCAGAAGTGATGGTTCTGTTTGCAGTGTTATCCATATGCATCTGCAGCCGGGGGCGAAGAAGAGAAAGGCAGCTTTCCCCCCTTAGTGCGTTAGCTCCAAAAGAGTTACATCATCATGAGGCCTACAGATTTTGTATTTTCCTCATGCCACGTTTCCTCAGACTTTTCAACAACTCTGGTACAAAATGGCCCCTGTAAATACTTTCTTTAAACTTTAAAAAATGGACTCTGTTTTCTTACCCTAAATACAAATGCAGGAAAACCCATATATACTTGTACATTGGCACATGCATAATGACGCATATCATTTGAATCTGGCCCATTTCAATACGAGATGCTATTGAACATTTTACTTAAAGAACAGTAGATTCCTCACATTAACTGAGATAGCCAATGACCCCAAACCAATTAATGGTGAGAGCCCATAATAGAGCACTATATAGCATAGCAGCAAGTTCATTCAGCATATTATATTACCTAACAGGAGTAGAAGCCACCACTTGTAATGTAAATGGTTTAATGGTTCTTTCTATAGTGAGCAAGACCAGGAGAAAAATTATGTTCTGCTGTAACAAGAGATACTCCACATTCCTAGGAGGTGTATCTGTAACAGGGCACATTTTCATTTTGCAACAAATGGTCCCCTAATTTCATAGACTGATGTTTGTGCACATGGACTTCAATTTTCTAAGGGAGACAAGCAGGTGTTCTTGTGCCTGTTAGCTGTATCTGCCCGTAAGAAGCACAGTAACATCTATGAGCCAAATACAATTTGACATAATTCATACCTTTATTACCTCCTACAGAATGATATTATTTCATGCTGGCACATTAATGTTTCCAGCACGATACTGTCATTCCTGGAAATTTTACCTTTTGAAGTTTAAATATTGAAGAATGAGTTTTAAAATTCTCTAACTGCCCTAGGTTTGGGGGAAAATGCAACTTATTCCAAGGTCAGCTTTTTTACTCTTTTTTGGTATTTGATGGCACTATAGATAATGTTCAGATAATGGGAAAGATCATATCTGAAAACTCTCACCTCTTCTTGACCAAAGAGCTTGTTCCTCTTCTATTCCCATTTTTGCAAGTAATATTTCATCAGCTTCTCATGTCATACTTACTTCACTGTTATTTGTTCCTCTAGTGAGGCAAATTCAGGAGATGTTGACCCAAAATGTTTAAATGATGGCAGCTTGAATCCGTTTGATGTAGTACTTAGATCTGTCTTGATACTCCAGCATTCAAAATTAGTTAGGGCTGATGGAGTAGAGAAGTTTCCTGTTGCTGCCATAACAAATTACCACAACTTTAGTGGCTTGAAGTAATACAAGTTTATTGGCATACAGTTCTGTAGTTCAGAGGTCTCACTGGGCTAAAGTCACTTGTTGACAAAGCTGCATTCCTTCTGGAGGCTCTAGGGGAGTATCCTTTCCCTTGCCTTTTCCAACTTCTAGAGACTGCCTGCCTTCCTTGACGCATGGCCTCTTCCTCCATCTTCAAAACTAGCAGTGGTGAGTCGAATCCTCCTCACATGGCAACAATCTGACTCTTTTCCATTGCCACCTTTCTCTTTCACTGACTGCAGCTGGAAAATGTTCTGTACCTTTGAGGAATCATGTGATTAGATTGGGCCCACCTAGATAATCCAGGATAATCTCTCCACCTCAAGGTCCATATCCTAAAACACATCTTCAAAATCTCTTTTGCCATGCAAGGTATAATATTTACAGGTTCTGGAGAATGGGACTTGGACATCTTTAAGTGGGGTGTGTGGGTTGATGGCATTAATCTGCCTACCACATGGAGTCTCTGAGAGTTCTTTCCCGTACCAATATTTGGAGAGTTAATTGCAATTCCTAGGAGTCTCCAAACTTTTAAAATCATGCATGAAAATAGTTTGAAAATTTCAATTATGTACCCCAGTATATGTACATTTCCTTCTAAACCATCCATTATCTATATTAATAGTATATATACTATTAGTAAAGCTTCATTTCTTTTTAGTATATAAATAAATAAAAACAAATCTTCTAATGGTTTCTTTGCACCTCAGTGCATCATCTTGTGTGCCCCCAGGGCTGTGTGCCCCTAATTTTGGAGGAGAAGGAGGAAAGGATGAAGTTTGGGTTAACTTGTGTCAATGTGGCTCTTTATTCTTTCAGAAATAGAAGTCTTCAAAGTGAGGAAGGGACTGCAGAGACTTTTTGGTATTCTCTGGTAGTTTTTGGAAGTGAGGAGTCACAGAGTATAACAGTGTAGAATGTAACATACCCAAAGCTTTCCTGAAAGTTGAGACCTGTCAATTATAGAATTATAAGACATATGCCATTTTATAAAAGACTAGAAAGAGATTGTTCACCAAAAGCTCTAGAATAAGACTGCATCTCGTCAAACAGCTACTCATGTCAGTTCAGTTGAAAATCCCAAGAAGCCAATTGCTCAATGACCATTTTAAACACTAGTGGCAGGGTCCATGTGAAACTGAGCTGAGAGAAAGGGTGATTCTGCTAAGTTCATTTTAAATCATAGTTTTCGACTTTGAAAACATCTATATCACACCAGCCACTCTTGATCTCCATGCCATATGGGCCTATGACAACATAGGAAAACCAGAAATTGTGACACAAGGGGACTCTGTTAAGTCCCCTTGTGTTAAAATGTGAGATGTTTTTAGAGCAGTCACCCTCAAAAAAAGGGATCTTGCTAAGATATGCTGACACACCTCTGAAATCAAAAAGAACTTCTGCTGGCAAATTAAAGTAGGTTGCCACAAAAATGTACATCAATTAGGAAACAAGTCAGTGAGTGTTTGCCAACTGCCATAAGCGTCCCACAAGCAGTCTGGGCAGTATATTTTTGTTTAATTTTTTCCAGGCACTTCCATTCTCTTTTTGAAAGGTGGGCAGGTAGTCTTCTTAAATCCTTCACTGATAGTTTCCATCAGTGACATCTCAAAATGTAACTGATAACATGTCAATGATTACTGTACAAAGAAGTTAAACAATAGAGTGAAATTTCCCCATTGAAACCCAATACAGGGATTAGCCACTATAGGGAATCTGTTTTATTTGCATTTAATTTGTACCTTCACACTATTATCTCCCATGTTTTAGTTTCAGGAAATGTGGTCTCAGGCTATTATAACCACATTTCATGCTGCTGTTGTACTGTTATTTGATCTCTATGGTTGGAAGTGACTTACAGAAAAAATAAAGCTAGCATACTTTATTTTAATTATACCAGTGCAGTGTCTAAATAAAACATGTACTTTATATTTAATGTGGAGCACAGATTAACAGTTTTATGGGACATAAAATCTATCTATATCATTTTCTATTTACACATCAGTTATATATCTTTCTCTCAGCAAAACAAATGCCTATGGTGTGAAAACAAGGAAGGAGAGTATCGAAGTTACAATCACATGGGCAGTAAATAACATCTTAATTGGTCTGGAATGCCGGAGTTTGATTTTTTTTCCGCCTGGCTTTTATTTATTGATCTCTATAGCTTATTTATCTTTCCAGTGATTTGTACAAGTCTATCTCCTTTCCTCAATAAGCCAATGTATGGTGGTTTTATATTGCACATCCCATCTGGGGAAATGGTCTAGTGAGAGAAGTGCAGTTGCTCCTGGAAAAGCCGTTATTTAAAAGCTTTTGTAGAGGTAAGGGCAACTTCTTAGTTTTTACACTTTGTCTTCTGGAAAAAAGAAGGAAAGAAGAAGTGCAGCTATTATGAAGTTGCCACCCAATTGTATGTTTCAACACTTCTCTTCTCTCCCTTGTTTGGCAGCAGCAAGAAAACAAAGAAGGGTTTAGTGTTCACTGGGAGATGTCTTTTAAATGTTCCCGTACACGATTTAGCTCCTAGTGAGGGTAGCAGACAGGAATGGATTATGTATATCTCATACATAATCTGTAAACCTTGGGTTTTCCTCTGTATGCCTTTCTGCAGTTCCAGTCCTAATATCTTTTTAAACAGCTCGTTAGGATAAACTACGCTTCAAATGACATGTTATGCCCCATAGTGCGGTTGAGAACTGGCAAATGTAACCATTCTCAGGAAAGCTAGTTGGCAAAAAGTCCAGCCCTTTTCCTAGTAGAGAGCTATCCACCGTTGAAGTGAACCCTGGAAAATTAGTCATTTTTTTTCCCTCCGAAATCAATGATCCCCTTGTTCATCAAAATCAGCGCTTCCAAGTGTTTGTCATGATTCTGTTTGATTGTCTTGATCTCACAGAATATTAGAAAAGTGCTCTGAAAGATTTCCTCTGTTGATAGCTGAGGGAAAAGCAAGTGTACAGATGGCAATGCTATACTTACACTATGCAAGTGATGCTTTACAAAGTGATTCTGTAAACATATTCCAAGGAAGAGACTCTGCTATCCCATCATCACCCTAATATAACCTTAACTGCTTTAAAATGAGCTAATGAAAATTTGGGGCAGGCTTTTAGAGAATGCATTTGCATTTGACATAATTAGTGGTAGGCAGATCTCACTACATCCAGAGGGAATCTCAAGACAACTGCTTGGCCGGCTATTAGTGCTTAATTTCTGAATGTCAAACCCTGCACATCTTAATTTCTAGAGAATAAGCTCAATTGAACTTGCTCCCCAGTTATGCAAAAACTGCTCAGATAAAACCAAGTGGACACCAATGTAATGAATGTGGTTATTAAATTGTTTCAATTGAAAGAACCCTATTCTTACGCCATCATAATGGGAACAATTTATCCCCACTGATCGGGCTGTCTCTCTCTTTCTCTCTCTTGCTCTCTCTTTTTCTGAGCTCTCTTTGATCTTGAAGCATATTGCAGTGGTGTGTCCTATTCAAAAGCGAAACTGGGGCAATTTTAATGCTTTTGTACCTTACCAGTGCTCTATTTTTTCACTGTTTAAAAATAGCTGTTAATTATAAGTGCAGTTTAAATGTCTCAAGTGACCCAGAAATGCAGGTTGGAATGAGACAGATTGTGTGTCTCATATAAAACAGATGTACTCTCACAGAGCATTCTGAATTCAGCCTTCCCTCTGTATCCTTCTCTTGGGTTATTTCAATCAGGTATTGAGCTGGTCTAGCACTGTGCTATAAAATCCCACACATTTGAAGTGGAAAAAAAACCCACAAAAATGAATCTTTCTCTCTCTCTCTCTCTTTGCCCCATAAAGAAACTCTTGTATATCAGTCCCTACTATGTGGGTGAATATGGTGCTTTTGGTGTTAGATAATGGGACAAGGACCACTTTCCTGGCCTGGAAGACCATATGATTTTCTAGGGCCCCACTTTGCCGGTCTCTTGGGTCAGGGGGGTGTGGCTTAAAAAGAACACTGCAGTAGTGATAAACATATTCCTTGAGGTCCTTCTTCAACTTGGTTCAATAGTGCCTGAGGACAAGTTAATCTGTTAGTTTTCAAAAATCCTTGATTCTTCAGTGGTTTCAGAAACTTGTGTTTTTAGCTTCTTGCTAACTAACACTTTGATGCTGGAGATGGTTACACTGCTGGTGATGTTTCAGGGACGAAGGCTTTAACAAGCAATGTGCTAACTCGGTAAAATCATACTATTCATTTATTCTGCTCCATTCTGAACAAATCTGGTGCTTACCTAATTATACGTGCTTGTATTTAGCAGGTTTGAAGATGTTCCTATTTAGTGAAGTTACAAGAAGTGATTTCAAAAGGTGAATTTAAGATGAAGTACATTCCAGTGGTTTGATGATCTTTTCCAAGTTTCTTAAAAACTTTGGTACACATCCCGAAGCCACATGAATCTGAACATTTGGACAGTGAGGGAATTCAAGACTCATCCCCTCCTCCACTTGGATTGAAACCCATGTTTATCTTCCTTGCTGTCAGGATGGAAACATGTCTCAGAAGGAGGAGGGCAGTTTATATGTGCATTGGCTACCTATCTGCTACCTGTCAAGAGAAGAGTTCTTCATTGCCCTCACAATCACATTGAACATAGTCATGGTGTGGGCTTAGGGACTGGTTCTTTAAGTTCTTTCTAGAAAAGTTGTAGACATTTTAGTCAAGTTCTAAATGAAGGCACTGGTTTGAACATTTTTTTATAGCTTATTTTCCAAATCAGTAATTCTAATTTAATTGATTTATTTGACTCTAATATAATCATTCTATTTCTGATCATTCTAATTTGTTTGCTAAGATTTATTCCATTTGGTGTTTATTGTCTTGTAAATGACAGTCTAAAACACTCGAGTTATGGTCTTAAGCCAAGTTGGTGGTTTATTTTCAGGAAGAGGGAAAGGTATGGCTTCAGGTAACTTTAAGAGAATCTATGTCATGCAGAGTTGGTGCTGAAAATGAATTCAGAAAAAAAGCATTCTTTAAATCCATATCTTATAAAAATGTTACACTTAATGAGATATATTTATACTGTTATTTGAAGAGAAATGACAACATGTTTATAGACACAATAACCATGGCCATGAGGGACCGATGAAGCTGAGCTTGCTCTGTCTCTTCTTCGTGTGACTAAAATGTTGCTCCATCGGGTACCTGACTGCATTGTGTTTTCCTTGGCAACTCAAATACTAAGATGCCCTGGGCAGCAATGGTCTGACTTCACCTCTTGGTGATAGGCAACAGATGCCACTTCTCAATAAGAACAAATTATTGTACAAGGTATATAGGTTTGGAAATGTCTTCAGTCCTTTGTTTCTAATCAGGCTATTGGTAGAAATGGAAAAGACTGGTGTCTATCTGGGGACATTGATAGCTGTTGATTGTGGATGTTGAATGGGCATTGGGACTATGAAATCCAGATCTGGATAAAAGTCTGGATTGATGGTAGATGCAAGGATGGGTTGGACTCTGGGTAAAACCTGGTTTTGAGAGATCAGCAGGCTGGAATGGGAATGTCCTAGTTCTGAAAGCCAGGTATTAGAACTATCCATGGGAGTGCCAAAAAAAATGAGGATAAGAGCAAGCAGTGAGCTGGAAGCCAGGTAGACATTAAGACAAGGGGAGCCTCCAATTCCAGATGTCCAAATGAGGAAGTAGTCCAAAACTAGGCAATTGCCAGCAACCAGTCACCTGGGGAGCTGAGGAAGAATGGCCAAAGAGCAAGAGCACAGGTATGAGAGCTTGGAAACAAAAAGGACTATGATAGATGAGGCAGCTTTCCGACTTCAGGTGCCAGAAGGAAGGGGGGACCTCAGTCAGATACACAGGTGGAGCAAACACAGGAGGGAATCGGATTCTGGCTTTGCTGAAGCGACAGCTGACTTCTGGTAGACAGCTGTTGAAGATTGGTGTGTCTCAGGAGTCTGCAGGAACTACTTACTAGGTTTTTTCTCTGAGTCCTGAACCTTGTCTCCCTGACAGTTCTTGACCTTCAACTCCCTCAGAAATTTTCCGGTAATAACCTGGTTCAAGCCTGATTTCAGATAGGACATCTCATATAAAGGCAGGAAAGCTCTATACCAAAATATTTACAAAGGCTATGGGTGATTATGGGTGTTCTTAATTTTCTTTTTCTTAATTTGTATGTATTCTGTACAGTGATCCCTTATTACCTTTGTAAGAATTAAAAATATAAGTGAGTCTCCTTTTAAAATTTGGTGTTTTTCTCAGTTTTATTGAGATATACTCAAATAATAACATTGTGTAAGTTTAAGGTGTACAACATAATGATTTAATTTATGTGTATATTGCGAAATGGTTACCACAACAAGTTTAGTTTACATCCTTCACTTCAGGGCACCTGGGTGGCTCAGTCATTAAGCGTCTGCCTTCGGCTCAGGTTATGGTCCCAGGGTCCTGGGATCGAGTCCCACATCGGGCTCCCTGCTTGGCGGAAAGCCTACTTCTCCCTCTCCCACTCCCCCTGCTTCTGTTCCCTCTCTCGCTGTGTCTCTCTCTGTCAAATAAATAAATAAAATCTTTAAAAAAAATCCTTCACTTCATGTAGTAATAGAATTTTTTTCTTGTGATGAGAACTTTTAGTAACTTTCAAATGTATAGTATTGTTAACTATGTCACCATGCTATACATTATATCCCCAGAATTTATTTATATTATAACTGGAAGTTTGTGCCTTTTGACCATCTATACTCTAATCCCTCACCCCTCATCCCCTACCCCTGGCAACCACCAGTCTGTTCTTGGTTTCCAAGAGTTCAGTCTTTTTTTTTTTTTTTTTGGATTCCATATATAAGTGAGATCAAAGAGTATTTGTCTTTGACTGAATTCACTTGGAATAATGCCCTCAAGGTCCATCCACATTGTTAAATGGCAAGATATTCCTCTTTTTTAAAATGGCCAAATGATATTTCATTATATATATATATTCATTATATATATTTATATATATATAAATGTTATGATATATATACGCATTTCCTTTATCCATCTCTTGATAGACACTTAGATTGTTTCCATGTCTTAGCTACTGTAAGTAAAGCTGCTATGAACGTTAGGGTACAGATATTTCTTTGGGATAGTGATTTCATTTCCTTTGACTACATACCCAGAAGTGGAATTGCTGGATCATATGGTAGTTCTGTTTTTAATTTTTTGAGGAATGTCCATACTGTTTTTCACAGTGGCTGCACCAATTTACATTCCCACCAACAGTGTACACGGGTTCCCTTTTCTCAAAATCCTCACTAACACTTATTATCTCTTATATTTTTGATGATAGTCATTCTCAGAGGTGTAAGGTAATATCTCATTGTGGTTTTGATCTGCATTTTCCTAACAGTGATGTTGAGCATCTTTTCATGTGCCTGTTGACATCTGCGTATCTTCTTTGGAAGATGTCTAATGAGATCCTCTGCTCATTTTTAAATTGGATTATTTGTTTTGTTTTGTTTCTATTTAGTTGTATGAATTCCTTAATTATTTTAGATATAAGCCCCTTATCAGATGTGTGGTTTGCACATATCTTCTTCCATTCTGTAGGTTGCCAGTTCATTTTGTTGATTCTTTTTTTTTTTTTTTTGCTTTGCAGAAGCTATTTAGTTTGATATAGTCCAACTTACTTATTTTTGATTCTGTTGCTTGTGTTGTAGGTGTCCTATCCAAAAAATCATTGCCAAGACCAACGTCAAGAAGCTTTTTTCCTATGTTGTTTTTTTTAGGAGTTTTATGGTTTGGGTCTTGCATTTAAGTCTTTAATCCATTTCAAGTTCTTTGTGAGTGGTATAAGATAGGGGTCTAGTTTCATCCTTTTACATGTGAATATCAAATTTTCCCAGCACCATCATTGAAGAAACTCTTTTCTCCATTTAATATTCTTGGCTCTCTAGTCAAATATTAGTTGACCATATATGTATGGATTTATTTCTGGGATCTTGATTCTATCCCATCGATCTGTATCTGTTTTTAATGCCAGTACCATACTGTTCTGATTACTATAGCTTTGTAATATAGTTTGAAGTCAGGACATGTGATGCCTCCAGCTTTGTTCTTTCTCAGGATTACTTTGGCTGTTCGGGGTCTTTTGTGGTTCCATACAGATTTTAGGATTTTTTTTTTCTATAAGTTAATTTCTTAGATGACATAGTATAAAGAGTTAGCACTTCTGAGTCAGACTAACCTGAATTCAAATACTGACTTCTCTTTTACCTCCTAGCTTTATGACCTGGGCTAGTTACTTGCACTTTAGAACTGTAGTTGGCTAGTCTGTAAAGTGTGGATAATAAGACCAAAATGATTATTATTCCTCACTCTTCCATACAAAGGAGGTAATTTGCCCTTCTTAGGATAGAAGGGAGAAACTCTTTCATCCTCTCCCTTTCTCACTTTTCCCATTGGGACAAAGAATCTTTTGTTGAGTGGGTGTTTGCATGACCTCACTCTCTGTCTCTTCCATTTCTTCTTTTTCTGCTTTGGACTAAGCTTACAGAAATAGGTCTTACACTTGAGGAGGAAGCCTTCCTTTTGGGAAGATAAATTAAGAAGCCCATTTGACAGCAAATACATGTCAAGTTTTCTAGTTCTGTTTTTCAGGATTAAAGTGGACATTTTAATCAACATTGGTGTGATCTTTGGGTCTTATTTCTTAATTACATCTATACCCAGGGTGCCAGCAGCCAATAAAAACACCAAGAATAGCACCACCTATCCATTCTTCTAATACTTCCATGGCTGTGAGGTTTGGAAGGCATATATAAAGTGCCTAGCACTGTGCCTGGCAAATAGGGGTAATTCAGTAAGTGCTAAGTTAATGATGATCATTGTCATGGTTGCTTTCTATCACGACTAACAATGGTCATGGGGGCATCATTCTTCCTCTGGGCTGGCAAGTCTTTTTTCCTCCATTTTCATCTATTATGGACTAGCATACTCTTTCCAAAGATCTATCCTTCCTGCTAAACCACAGCTGTTTCCTTCCCTTGTAACCAGTACCATTGTTCATAAGTAAATGCAGAGCACTTTTTCTGATCTTTCCAGGCATCTAAGACTGTTTTAGGACTGTTTAGGTATATGGAAAAGGAAAATATTAAGAAACTTTACCCATGAATTCAGAAGCAGGAGGGGAGGTTTGTAATGATCCCACTTCCCACCTGCCTGGGTCCTGCCCTAGCCAGCAGAGCTGATTCCAGCTCTGTTTAGGAGGACAGTAAGTATTCAGCTAACTCAGCTAACTCAGCTAACCCCAGGCTGCCAGAACTGTTTTGCTTGAGATCTCCCCTTTGGGCAATGGATTCTTCCCTGTCCTATAGCCAGGGCTTCCCCTTGATTGACAACTCCATGAGTGTGTCTGTTCCCTCTCTCCCACTGTTCTTCTCAAGAAAGGGGCTCTGCCCTCTGCTGCCTGTTCCCCTGCCTTCTGGCATTGCCCCACCATGCTTGCTTAGAGCCTTGGCAAAGCCTTTTGGCAGTGTGGCAGCCCCTTGCTCACCTCATTATCTTCCCTGCTGGGCTCGTACCTCTCACTCACCAACCTTGTCTGGCTGTCTTCCTCCTGTCATCTGCTGTCAATGATGGTTCCAATCACCTGTCCCATCCCCTCATTCTTGAATTTTAAGAACCATGCCTAAATACTATTTTTCCTTCTGACCTCACTTCCTTTGTCTCTCCTGATCCCTCAGGTCATTCTACCACCCTGGCTTCCTCAAAAAGCACCCTACCCTCTCCCCCGCCGACTGACCCCTAATTTTGTATTTATCATCCCCTCAGCCTGGAGTAGTCTTCTTCCAGAAAGTCACAAGGCTCACTACATGATGCCTTTCACATCTCCATTCAAGTTCTGCCTCCCCAGAAAGGCTTTCCTTGATCATATCCCCACTCTATATCACTTTGTAGGCCTTTTCTCTGCTTTATTATTTTTTTTCATTGCAACTTTAACTTCTGGATCTCAGATTATATTTTCTTTTGCTTGTTTGTTTATTATCTGTCCCTACCCCCTGCCTTTCCCAAAACATAAGCAAGCTGCATGAAAGCAGGACTTTCATCTGCTTTGTTCAGCAGGTACAGAGCCCAGAATAGTGCTCAGCACAGAGTGGGTGCTCAGTGAATCACCCATCCTCTGCCAACACAATTCCATCATTCTTAATACCCTTAGTTGACTATTAATAAAATTAAATGTGCTAGGAATAAAAGAAAAATATTATTTTTTTTGAAAAAAAAAATAGTAGTTTTGAAGTATAGATTAGTAATTTCTTGTGCAATTTTGGAATCACCAAAGCTCTGAAAACAAAAAGCTCTCTTCTTTTCTGGCAAATCCATTTGGTCCTAAACTTGCCCTGAGCTTGAATAGTCTTATGTATGATATTTATTTATCCCACTTAATATGAATATTCATGTATATCAGTGCTAAAATATTAATGTGTTTGATTTTAGGGTACTTCTCCATTCCCTTAATATAAATTGCAGTATATGCATTATACCAACCTTAAAATCTGAAAAGTTCTGAGTTTAGAATGTATCTAAGCCCCAAGGATTTCAGACAAGGAAGCTCAGTACAGTTCTGCAATTTTTCCTTTTTGTTCTCTTCTAAAGCGTGTGAAAGAGGGGAGAGAAAAGTAAAGAGGTGAAGAGAATTAGCACAGGGATAAGACTGGGGAGTAGTTTGGGGGAATTGGTGGAGAGAAGGAAAGGCTGCCTTTATGAGTAACTTTAGGGAATGTTAAGAAGATTTTTAAAGAAGTAGGTCTGCTGCATATTATGCAATGCAATTCTACTATGCTACTAACTCCAGACCTACAGTAAAAGCTACCATTATTATTTTATACTTAGATTTTTATTTTGGATGCATCACTGAGCTGAGATCGAGTTCAAAGCATCCAGCACATTTCTGGTTCCATGAACATTCATAAGAAATTGCCTATCTGTTACTGGCTTATACTAAAATGTGAAAACTGAGAGTTCTTTTCTTTTCAGAGCAGAAGAATATGGATAGGTTCTTACCAGAATATTAAAGAAATTAGGTAGCTATAAGATTAATCAAATAAATTAATACATTAGACATAGAATAGCAGGTTGAAGATATTTTGGGCTGGCATTCAAATATTTTCTATTAGGCAATTGTATTGGGTAGGTACTATGCCAGGAACTTTCACATATGTCAAACTTTATTTAACTCCTAAGGGAAACTGCTGATATTTATTTCCCCATTGTATTTAATCAAATGTTAGAATACTTTACCCATATGATATTATCTCTTAGGTATATGATTTTTTTTGGCCATACAATGGTTAATTTCCTATTTGTAAACTATTAAGATGATTGAATTTGTCATTTTTCTTCTGGACACTTGGCAGTATGTAAACGTAGACTTAAACAAAGTTTATCTGGGTTGATAAGAAATTGTCACTTAAATTTTTCTCACTACATCATGCCTTTCACATCTCCATTCAAGTTCTGCCTCCCCAGAAAGGCTTTCCTTGATCATCTCCCCACTGTCTATCACTCTGTAGGCCTTTTCTCTGCTTTATTATTTTTTTTTTCATTGCATCTTTAACTTCTTGATCTCAGATTATATTTTATATATAATATACAGTTAGATTCTACTTCGTAATGCTTTGTGTGTTTCCACTACCTTATGGTGTGGTAAGCAGGAATTGCAGGGCCCTGCTCCTTCAGTGGGCATTTCCTGCCTTGCTCTTGAGCAGAGCATACTGCCTATGGGTGAGGATAAGAAGGGAAGGATCCATGCTAG